CCTACAGTAATAAAACTATCTCAGAGCAACGGCAATCGAAGGAAATGCAGACAAATCGTATTTGACAAGAGAGGGCAACTTCCAGGTGTTTACTCATTTGTATACACGTATAACACGTCCACCAAGAATCAAGTAATTAGAGACTGCATGTATACTTAGTGGAAACTGGCGCCTCTCCCATGCCATCTTATACGCGCTTCTGTAAGTGCAACGCACTTTCGGGAACACTTAAGCGGCCGCAAGTCTATCTCAGCCAAGGAGTTAGGTTCCGAGAGGATGTCAGCAGAGGTCAGAGTCTCCAGATACTTGGACTTGCTTCGCACTACTGAAATGATTTTTACTTGAGCCAGGCTAGGTTGGCCATCAACAACAACGCAGAAGCACACGAAAATTATGGCAAAACAATGGTGAGCAGCGGGAGCAATGAAGCCTGGCGGCTACCCACTAGCAGGCACCCGTAGGCCGTGAGCGTTGCTTCGCCTGTGAATGTCATCAATAAAGAAGAATAAATAAACCATCGGAATTTACATTACATCATGGCATCAGTGATATGTCAGGCTGAAGAAGTTAATCAACACTTTTCATTGTGCTCTCTTTTTCGGTCACCTTATTTTCTTTTTCTTTTTGTTTTTCTGTTTCTCTTGTGGTCCACTTTTGCACGCTGTCTGAGCTCAACATTTTTTTATAAAACTCTGACGACGCAATTACGACAGTTTTCTTGTAACGTATGGAGCACAATATATATTTCCAAGAAAATATTTTCGATTTTTCGCCATCATGAAAAAAGAAAGACATGCAAACATACCGAAAAGGAGACGGATATTTTTACACAAGCACCACGTCTGTAGTGAAAACTTGGAGGCGACAGTATGTATTTGTTCCGTACTCGTTGTGCAGCAGAAAAACTTTGCTAAGGCGCTTTGGTATGGCTGCTGCACTTTTGTGCACATTGTTGCCAAAAATGAGCTCATTCAGATTGAAGCAGAGTGACGATTCTGTCTGAATGGTGATTGCTTTGTGTTTTTGTGTGACAAAATTTTGTTTCTTTTACCTCTGCAACACTGCCTGTATTGAACCTTGGTTACACTACTTTCTGATCGTACTTACGTACGATCAGAAAATCAATATCCAGAAGATTGGCTGTAGTTTGAAGAAAAGAAAGTAACTGAATTTTGAAGTGTTACAGAGCAAATTTACACAACTTTGCTTCCGCTGAAGCAGAGATGAGGTAGGCGTACAGGATTTATTTTATTTATTTATTTATTTAGTACATACTGCGGACCACACTTCGGTCCAAGCAGGAGGCTATGGTGTAATGCAAAGAGAAATACAATACACGCAAAACAAAAAAACAGTGCACAGTTACTCAGTATCGCAAGTACTACATTCGATTGTCTGGTTCCAGTCTGAAATGGTGCGTGGGAAAAATGAAAATTTGAACATGTCCGTTCTCGCGACGTACGGAGTTAGTGTATTTTGTTGGCGATGTCTTGTCGGTCTTGTGTTTAATGGAGAAAGAAAAGGGGTTGGATCAAGAGAATGTTTGCGATTGTATAAAAGAGACAGAAAGTCAAGGCGGGACTTCTTTCTACGATCTTAAAGGGAAGGAATATTATTAGCTAGCATTAGGTCTGTTGGGGAGTCCGTTCGCAAAAACCTAGAATAAACAAACCGAATGGCCTTCCGCTGAATCCTTTCAAGTTTTTTAACAATTTGTTTAGTATGGGGGTCCCACACGATACTCGCATACTCCAGCTTCGGCCTAACGAAAGTGAAATAACTAAGAATCTTTACGTTTGGAGGGAAATTTCTGAGCTTATATTTTAGGAAGCATAATTTCCGAAAGGCAGACGAGCAAATATTATCTATGTGCATGTTCCATGATAAGTTGTTTGTTAGCGTAACGCCGAGGTACTTATAACTGTCAACCTGTGTGAGAAAAGACGATCCTAATTTATACACGTGTTCACTAGGGTTTTTCTTTCTCGTCACACAGAGATATACACTTTTTTCCAAATTTAATTCCATTCGCCATTCTATACACCACTCCCGCACGTTTTCAATGTTTTTCTCGAGTTCGTTCTGATCGTTAGTACATGTGACTTCCCGAAACAAAACACAGTCGTCAGCGAACAATCGAATTTGAACAGTAGGGTCAACAACAGTTACTAAAACGTTAATATGCAACAAAAAAAGCAATGGTTCGAAAACACTACCTTGTGGAACCCCAGAGGTGACAGGAAGACACCGAGATTCTTCATCGTTAATTTTTACAAGCTGTTGGGGGTTGGTTAGGTAGGCTGCAATCCAGGAAACAAAAATATCCAGAATGTGAATGTTTTTAAGCTTTGCTATTAATTTGTCGTGTGGTACCTTGTCGAAAGCTTTTTTGAAATCTAAAAATATAGCATCAATTTGGCCGTTATTGTCAAGACACGCTGCTAACGAATGAATTATTGTCACCAATTGGGTTGCCGTGGAATAACCTTTTCTAAAACCATGTTGAAAATTTGTTAGTACGGCTTTTTCGTCTAGAAATTTAAAAATCTGTTTGGAAATGATATTTTCAATGATCTTGCAGCATTGAGACGTTAAAGATATCGGACGGTAATTTTGAAAGCTGGACCGGTCACCGTTTTTAAAAACGGGAACAATCAGAGCCATCCTCCAGTCACTCGGCAGCTTCCCAGTGGACAAAGAAGTACGAAATATTACTAAAAGAAACTTAGCAAGTATTTCGGCATATCTACGTAAAAAGTCGTTTGGAATCGTGTCTGCACCACATGAAGACTTGGTTTTCAAATTTAACAGCATAGATAGTACACCAGAGTAAGATACAAAGTCAGCGTCATAAATGCCAGGATCTGATATTAACAGTGGATACGTTTGCGCAGGAGAAAACACACTGTGAAAATAATGATTAAAATATTTAGCAATGATTCCAGGGTCAGAAACGAGATCACCATCGATTTTCATTTCCCTTATAGGCTGCTTTTTGTCAGTAATGTAATGCCAAAACTTATCAGGATCATTTTTTATGAAGTTTGGTAGGAGGGTTTGAATGTAGTGGTCCTTTGAGCAGCGCACTGTGTTTTGCAAAGAATTTTTATACTCACTGATAACGTCAGACTGTGCCTTCTTCTTCTTTATTCTTTTAAGTTTGCGTTTCAAGGGAATAATTTTGCGTGTTATCCAGGGTGTACACCTGTGAATTTTTTTGCGCTTGCTCGGTATAAAGTTATCAAGGCACTAATGGCACATGTCCTTGAACCGGTCCCATAGGTTGCAAACGTCATCACCATCAAAATTAGCAAGACATATTTCTAGATGCTCAAGTACAGATTTGTCATTAGCTCGTGAGTAATCTTTGAAGCGCCGTGTCATCTACCTATCTTGGGGCCTTAACTTGAGAGGGGGTAAAGTAACGCGTACTAAGTGGTGGTCAGATATCCCTGGTTCTATTGCAACAGAGTATCGGTCAAAATTACGGGGAATAAATACAAGATCCAGAAGGGAACTACAAGGGCCCTGTACACGAGTTGGTTCGTTTACAACTTGTATTAGGTTATGTGTAAGCATGATATCAAACACTATATTTGTGTGTTTCAAAAATTCTGAAACAGCCATCAATCGTTTCCAGTCAATCCCTGGAAGGTTAAAGTCCCCAATCAGAAAAACTTTGCTGTTCACATATTTCGACATGTGCTCTCGAAGTCTAGTCAGATATTCCGATGGGGAATCAGGAGGCCTGTAAAGCGCGTAAAGAATAAAAGAGTACCCCCAGCACAAAACCTTCATACACAGGCATTCAAGTTCGTCGATATCAGGCAACAAAACGACCCGTATGTTGTTCTTCAAAAGAACAGCCACGCCCCCGCCTCTGGAAGCCCTGTCTTTACGTAAGATCTGATAGGATGCGAGAAAGACGCTGTCATCTGATATGTCACTTCGGAGCCAAGTTTCTGTCACTACGACAATGTGCGGGTCATTTTGAAGCAAGATAATTTCAAGCTGATCAGTTTTATTTATTACACTACGAGCATTCAGGTTCAGCAGGCGCAGTTGCTTTTATTTGGTTGGGTTCGCATTACTGTTAGGGGTGTTCCTGGTTTTTCGGTTGAGTGGCCTTTTGGAAGTATTTTTGATCATGATGCGTTGTTTATTGCCTGAGCCTGTTGCCTCGTCTGTGGACGATTTGGCTTTCGTTCGTCGTTTTTTCGTAGGAGTAGGCGTTCATCTTTTTCGGTATCCCAAGTGTAAACGTTGCTATTGATGAATAGTTTGTCGAAAACTAGCGACACTTTTTCTTTTTTGTCGCGGTTTGGTTTCGAACTTGCCCACAGTTTACGTCTGACATCTCGCACTCTACGGGAGAAATCTTCACCAATGGAGAAATCTGAACCTTTTAGCTTAGATCCTTGCTTAAGAATTGAGATCTTTTCGTGTGCGTCTTGCAGCTTAAAAATAACTGGTCTAACTTTGTTTGGTGCAGGCCTACCTATTCGATGGATGCGCTCAATTCTAATTGGTTCAAGCTCCAATAAGTCTTGAATTACTTCTTTGTTGACAACGTGTTCAAGTGTGTCACTGGTCTCGTTGTCCCTTTCCGGTAAGCCGTACACTATTAGGTTTGATCATCTACTATGATTTTCGAGCTGATCAACCTGCTTTTCTAGTTGATGAATTACGGTGCTCATAGAAGCTATTTGAGTTTGGCAAGCAGCAATTTTGTTCTCTAAAATCGTCAAGGCGTCCAATTTTTTCTTTATATCGGTTAGTCGCTTTTCTTTTATGTCCTTTATGTCAGTAGCTATGCTCTCTAGTTGTTTAGAAATTTTAGCCAAATCAGGACTAGGATTGGTCTCAATGTCTCCGCCCAGAAGGAGCAGTTGTCGCAACAAGCCAGAAACATCATAAAACACACCAGAAGACCATGGGCACGGCAGCACAAGTAAGAACGGGCCGTCTGAGCGAAAGCATTTTCCGTAACACTTGCTCACCTGTAGAAGGAAGACAAACGGATTTTCAGACCACCGCATACCGGCTGTGCCGCCATGCCCAGTGGCCGAGGAGTGAACAGGACGCTCATATATAGCCGGAATCTGCAACGGCGCCGCCTGGACGGCTTCTGGTATCAGTGATGCCCACATGGCTGATAGCTGTAGAGGCAGGTGGTCCGGGTGTGCAGTTGATGACCGGCAAGGAAAGATGAGGCTGGTCGCAGGGTGCGGCGCATGCGCACCTCCCACTCGTAGATCGAAAGGTTCGACAAAATGGGGGCCCAGCAATCCAAGGAACTGTAGAAGGAAGACAAACGGATTTTCAGACCACCGCATACCGGCTGTGCCGCCGTTCTCCACAAATATGCTCCACAATGTCAATCTTGGCCGTGCCAAGATTGACATTGTGGAGCAGATTTTGGGAACAATATGAAGAATAAATGAAGAAAAGATGTAGAAGAAATGAAGAAGCAACAGCTTGCAGAACGAATACTTGCGAAACAATGGGAGTGAGCTGAACACCCCGAATATGTCACTGAGAGGATACAAATTGTTGGGAAAGGTAAAGGCGGCTGCTTCAAGACCCGGAGAGTATGAAAGCCCTACGCCAACGACAACCCGAGCGTATATTTTTGAGAGAAAGAAATGCTCGGTTTCTATGTGAGTTTTATCTCTGTAAATGCGACATCCGCGTCTTGTCTGTCATGGTCTCTGGTTTGTTCAACTCTCTCTGGTAAAAGGATCATACTGGTAACAACTTAGAATCAGCCAAACTAAAGCCCTGCGAAAACCTCGAAACAACCAGATCATACTTCATAATTATTCAGATTGGCTGTGCGACTAGCCTGTGCTAAGCCTTGTGCTACTAGTCGCCACCATCGACTTTTTTCTAGCGGTATGAAAACGTGCTTGGAAGGTACCTATATGCACTTCGGCCTACACATAGTTTGAACTTCGCGTGAAGTACTCGTGCGCTGATTTTTACGTATAGTCTATTCATGTCTCTTCGCTGAGTTATGCAGCTCTTGAAGCATCATTTTGAACAACTGGTGACATAGTTCAGTAGCATCTGTTTTTGTAGCCAAACAAGGAATGTCTTTCTCTGGGAAGAAAGACAGAGCTGTTGAATATACCGCAGTGTTTTCTTCTTAACCTTTCTAAGTACCCATAGAAACACAATTACTTCAAGAATAAGCACTAATTTATGCCTATTGCGAGCTGAACACGTGTCTGCAACATACGACATAAATGCCTCGTTGTCCATGCCCAACTTTGTCAACCGAGTGCTTCGGTGTGTTTAGATGCTTGTTCAATGTATCAACAATTTATACATTTTTTAGGTGCAGTACTACAAAAGAAAAAGTAAAAGCTGATTGAAACACCGCGGCAGGCTATTTCGGAAACGCGACAAAATATCCTTGAATAACCCAGAAATATGATATTTGATTGATATGTAGGGTTTAACGTCCCAAAACCACCATATGATTATGAGAGACGCCGTAGTGGAGGGCTCCGGAAATTTCGACCACCTGGGGTTCTTTAACGTGCACCCAAATCTGAGCACACGGGCCTACAACATTTCCGCCTCCATCGGAAATGCAGCCGCCGCAGCCGGGTTTCGAACCCACGACCTGCGGGTCAGCAGCCAGAAATATGGTAAATATAAATCGCGGAATTACTGAGAGAAGCCATAAATTAAAACTGCGTGAAACCAACTATCTAGACGTGACCAAGTCCAATTTAAATAAATGTTGTGTAGTATAAGCAGCTACCAATTTTCATTTGTCGGTCAGTGCGCTTTTTTCTTTCCGATTTTATGTTGACCGCAATAAATGCAGTACAACCAGCCAATTATGTTGTTGAATGTCTCCCTTCAAGTATATCATTTAGTTTTCTTTTGAAGGAACTACTTATTGAATCTACATATTGAAGAAGTAACTAGACCTAGGCTTGGATCGAACACCCTAGGTGTGACTCACCATCATGCTTAAACATGAGGGGAGGGGAACTGACGCACACGTACTTTAGAAATTTCAAGAACAAGTCTGGTCTTATGTGGTGTCATGAGCACTCCTGACTACGTTATCTTCCAAGAAGATCTATAATAGAATATTAGAGTGTCTCGTGTATTACAGATGTCACTTGTCAAAGCAGGCAGTAGAATTCAACTTGGTCTTTTGTCTCTCACGTTCACGTTCAGTGGAAATCTACATTGGCTTTACCTTCTACGTTCCTCTTCTCTTGAATAGAGAGAGAGAGAGAAAGTATGGTTGAATGAAAGGCAGGGAGGTTAACCAGAAGAAAATATCTGGTTTGTTACCCTGCACTGGGGAAAATAAAAGGGGCATGAAAAAGTAAGGAGCACGAAAGGGGAAAAGGGGTGGTTAAATAAAAGAAAAGAATGGCAGACCAAGCGTACAGTGAGAATCTACGATATCCGAAGCACGAATGAGGAATGGTGATATGTCCCTGGGAGATCAGCACAACGTTACGAGGTGGAGGTAAATGATGCCGTACATGACTTCCGTGTCATGATTATCATGTTTGGATGTGTCGTTTACCTTCGTCATCCATTCACGTCACGTGATACCAAATTTAGTATACGTGAAGCTAGCGAAACGACCGCGAACACGCTATGAGCGTGTTATGTTGTCATGGTCTTACATGACACGCATGTCAGGACAATCATGTTTGCACCAGTCATATATCTCGTCATCCATTGACGTCACGTAACACCAAGTTTGGTATATGTCGAACTAGCAAAACGGCCGCGAGCGCATCATGAAGGACCAATGTACTCCAATGTAGCGTTAACGCGTGCGCACGCCAGGCACAGCGACGCTACAGTAACAAAACGCGAGCACTCTATAGTGTGAAGTCAGGAGTGACCAGCGTCTGTCGGCGCAGCCCGACGGCAACCGGTGCAGAATGCGACATGCAGCATTTCGCGCCGAAGCGTTGGTCAGACAACACTGCATCTCGCTCTTTTCGTGACGGAGGGACGCCAACGCGCTGAAACGGGCATGCGTCAAAGCAACGCAGCTAGGCGAGCGCCTGGGAGTATATGGCAGGACCAGCGCCTGGCTAGGCAACGCCGGCGTGACGCGACGAAATGAATGCTGACGAGCACGCGCACCACGTCACGTCGAAATAGTTTGGCGCCTTGACTATTGCATGTAGTCATGTTCTCACATGATGAGCATCTCTTGATTATCATGTTTGCACTAGTCACATACCTTCGTCATCCATTGACATCTCGTAATACCGATTTTGGCATATGTGAAGCTACCGAAACAGCCGCGAACGCATCATCAGTGTGGCATGTGGTCAAGTTGTTCCGTGACACGCAGGTCGTTATTATCATGTTTATATAAGGTATTTATCTATGATGTCCAGTGGCGTCGCGTAATACCGAGTTTGACACATGTGAAGCCAGCGAAACAGCCGCAAGCGCATCATGAGCGTAGCATGTAGTCGTGTTGTTACATTACATACATCTCATATTTATCATGTTTGCACCTGTATAATACCTTCGTCATTTATTCACGTCCCGTAATACCAAATTTGGTATACGTGAAGCTATCGAAACGGCCACCAGCGTATCATGAGCGTGGACGGTAGTTATGTTGTTACATGACACGCATGTCATGATTGTCAAGTTAGGGTGTGTCGCTTGTGTTCGTAATGCAATCATGCCATACCGTACCAGTTTTCCAACATGCCATTTGAACAAAACCACCGCAAGAGCTGCAAGACCATGAAATGTAAATCATGACATACATATGATTTCCATGTTGTGACTAGTCAAATATGTTTTTCATACAGTCATAATATGCCATATTCATTTCGTATCGATAACATTATTGAAACGGCCAGGAGAGCTAAGAGTCGTAGGCGGCTAGATAGATAGATAGATAGATAGATAGATAGATAGATAGATAGATAGATAGATAGATAGATAGATAGATAGATAGATAGATAGATAGATAGATAGATAGATAGATACGCTCAAAGTCGCCGAAGTTCACTAAGAAATGCTTTGCCTTTAATTGAAAACTCGCGCACACTCAAGAATCGGTGTATCTCAGTCGTTTTGAGAGTCCGGTTGACCGCAGAAACCTTAGCAGCGAGTTCTTAGAAAGGTCGAACGCGGCGGCACTCAAAAATTGACTGCTCTGAAAGCGGCCGGTTATTGAGCCGTGTTAACATTGCCGAAAGCTGTTGTCCTTGCGAGCTATAACGACGACAGTTCCAAAGGACGTGGGAAATGGTTTGCTCACTGCCACAGTGATCACACAGAACACTGTTAGGCATCCCTACCCTGTAAACAAAACTGTTCGTGAATGACTTCTCTAATATATTGCGAAGATTAGTTTAGTAACAAAATGTGAGCTACAGTTGTTATAATACAGAAAATAGGAAGTTTAATTCACACGTGTGAATCAAACTCGAGTGTTATAGCCACAATTTCACCTCATTCTTATTTTTGTGACTTTCGCTTTGAAACCACTACAAGCTGAAAGCCTGAGCTTGGATGCGGATAAAAAAACGGAGTTCATGCAGCCATCCTATTTTTTGTATGAAATACTTGCGTTCTTTTTTACCTTTTAAATTCGTCTGCTCTACTGTTTCTTGTTGACTGTTTCTTGTGACTTAGCTACAGCTGTACAGGGCCCTATTTCTGGGTCTATTGCGCTACAGCTTGCCGGTACTGACTAACACTCGCAAATCGAATACTCATTCATTGGAGAGTTTGCAGAGTCAGGCACTGCGTATCTGCCTAGGACTGCCCTGATGCGCTTCTACTTATGCCACAATCATGCTTGCCAAAGACCATCCGGTCAGGACATATATAGTTGTGGATTGCCTCAGAGCGCACATTCGACATGCTAGCCGTGTCCCCGACCACCACTTGGCCCTTCTACCTTCCGGAAGACCACGTGCTACGTTTTCAGACGTCATAGCCAAGCACCTAAACAGCATTCCATCAGGATATACGCCAGCTGCGAGAACGGCATGCCCTTTGGGGTGCCTCGACCAGCCGCAAGTACGTCTAGAAATTCCGGGAATCAAAAAGAAAAGCAGTCACTCCACAGTAGCATTGAAGCAAGCAACACTGCTATTATTACATGAGTTGTACTTAGACCGAACCCAGATATACACTGATGGGTCCGTCTCATCCAGCAGCTCATCAGGTGCCGCTGTAATTCCGGCTGCAGAAATGACAATCAAGTTTAAGTTGTCGCATATGACTACATCTACGGCATCAGAGCTTGCTGCTATAAGGGCTGCTTTACAATATCTCGTTCAAGAACGTCCAGGAAAATGGGTCATATTCTGTGATTCGAAGGCAGCGCTTCAGAGTTTGCAGTCTGCCATGCGTAGGAATGAGCCATGACCAACTA